CGTAGTCCTTTCAATAGGACAGATATAACACATGTAAATTGCAGAACAGAAATGTAGGTACATAATCGCAGCCTATAAAGTTCTAATATGATTTCGTAACAATTGCATAGTTAATTCGTTACGACCCAAGTGCGGAATAACTCTGTAAGTTTGTATTAAAAACTTGTTGACAATCAGTAGGGTGATTCTTTCAATCGCACAAAGAACCAATATACATTTCAAAAAGGTAGCTAAATAATTGCAGTTTGTAAAATGAGACTGTTATAAAAGGTCGGAAACGAATAGGCTTCATCATTTCAAGGCGATAGATAATCCATATCAATTTTGTTTATTTGTGGGTTTTACGTCAAAGTGATTAATGAAGTGATTAGCTTTCTACCTCTGATGACAGTAAAAGATCACTTGACTTAATTAGAAAAGTCATTTGATATCCTTCATCTATATAATTAATGTCCACTACTATTACATCCCACGCCAAGGTCGGCCAAATAACAACAACATAAAATGAAATGAAATGGGGTTTAACGTCCTACTGGTCTGCGCCTATACCGGGCTAATGAAGACGGGCATACGCCATACAGTGTGCTATTAGGAAAATTTTGTCTGGGCAGCGGCAATATGGACTACTCTTATATCGAATTTCAACTGCCGAGAGATCTGGATGAGCTTTCTCCGTCAATGCATGGTTTGAACACCTGACCTCCAGGCTAGCGTCCGGCGTGGTTCCCCTTGTCAGTGATGCAGGATGGAGGGCCTGACAAGGACAGCTGTTTAGTCGTTCGGATGGGACGAAAAACCGAGGTCCCGCGTACACATTGGCGTGCACGTAAAAGATCCCTTGGCAGTTGGAATTCGATATAAGAGTAGGCGATAGTGCCGCTGCCCGGGCAAAATTTCCCTCATAACATACTGTATGGCGTATGCCTGTCTTCATTAGCCCAGTTTAGGAGCAGAACAGTAGGACGTTAAACCCCATTTCATTTCATTTCATTTCATTTCCAGGCTAGCGAGCCAGCGTCTTACCCACTTAACTACCGTGGCCCCCAACACCATAAAGGAACGTACATTGTTTTGCGGATTCTAATTCATGTTTTAGCTATTTTTGCATTAACTCTTTCTAGGAAGACGGTTTTGAATTATATTTCTATCACTCCCACCCAACGCCAACCAATTAACGACCAATTAACAAGAAATTAACAAAATTCCAGCACATAAGGTGTTTTTCGGATTCTAATTTTTCTTACGACTGTTTCTGTTGTTTGGTTCCAGTAATTCTTTATGTCGGTGGAAACTGATCTAAACTTCAAATTACCTTATACAGGTTTAAATTATATTTCTATCATTCCCACCCAAGGCCAACCAATTAACGACCAATTAACAAGAAATTAACAAAATTCCAGCACATAAGGTGTTTTACGGATTCTAATTTTTGTTACGACTGTTTCTGTTGTTTGGTTCCAGTAATTCTTTATGTCGGTGGAAACTGATATAAACTTCAAATTACCTTATACGGTTTTGAATTATATTTCTATCATTCCCACCAACCTTACATTGTAGTCAATTTTAAATTGAATATCGAGCTTGGGGAATACATTCTGTTGCTGATAAATATAATCACCGATTGTGGTGATCTTGATACGACCAAATGGAAGTAAGCTATATACATTAATTTGATAAACTGTCCTTATTTTAAACACTCTGTTTTTGGATAATTAGTCCGCACATTTTATATTATTAATTGTATAATTAGTTGTGGGTTTGATAGTTTGACGTCATGTTTAATTAAAACGATAATATTTTATATTATTAACAGATGTTGGTTTGACAGTTTGACGTCATTTAATAATTGTTTAATTAGAATTATAACTTTATTTCGTTTCGGTTTAATTTTGGTTGATGGAAATCCAACTACTATCTTATAAACACCTTGGTCTCTCTGACTTCACCATAGATTTGGTCACTGTGATTGGTTTTAAAAACAATTCCCACGCTAAAAGTATCTGCCTAATCGACTTGAAATGAAAGGAATAATCAACTGAATACACATGCGCGTGCGCTGAATTTACTAAAATAAAGGTATCACTCGGAGTTGAAGTCGGCGTTAAATCTCCAACTAAGAACTGCCGGAACTCACATTAAATTCATGTGATGTAGCGTGTCTCACGTTCAGAATTCCCATTCATGTACTTGTTAATGGAGACGGGGATCACGGTGGCTAAGTGGGTAGGACTCTGGCTCGCTAGCCTGGAGGTCTGGTGTTCAATCCCTGCATTGGCCGAGAAAGTTCATCCAGATTTTCCGACGTGGTTCCCACTTGACAGTGATGCAGGACGGAGAGCCTGACAAGAACAGCTGTCTAGTCGTTCGGATGGACGAAAAACCGAGGTCCCGTGTACACATTGGCGTGCATGTAAAATATCCCTTAACAATAGGAAATCGATATAATTCCCCCCATAGCACACTGTATGGCATATTCCCGTCTTCATTAGCTCAGTAGGACGTTAAACCCCATTTCATTTCTTAATGTGTGCGCGCTGCGCTGTATCATCCGGTCTGTCATTGAGTCAACTGGCGGGGTTTCGATTCCCCGGTTATACGTGACAAGGAGCAGGGTCGCCTGTCCAACCTCGTGGGTTTTCCTCGGGTCCTCCGGTTTCTCCCACTGCTAAAGACCCCAACGCGCATGCGAATTCTTGAAATAAAATTGAATCATGTGTTAGTCCCGAAATGACCTAGTTTGTGTCGAGTTGACGTGAAACCCAATTTCTTTCTCTCTCTTTCATTTCTTAATGGAGATGGTTCACCCATTTCTGTATTTTAACAGCAGACAGATAACGATGACAGCTACTAGAATCATAGGTTAAAGACATTCTATACAACTCTGTTCGAAACATCACGCTAAATTATAGATTATGTCCATATCAAATGATGTCTCCAATGAAGCACGAGTCAATCGGAAAGATTAGAAACATGACTGACAGTCAATTTCGACATCCGAAATAATGTACTGAACACATTGTCATGCTAAAGCTTTGGGACGCCATATTGAAAGCTTTGGGACGCCATATTGAAAGATGTTTTTAGTATTGATGACGTCAATATCGAAATATTTCATTACGGGTAACGGTTGAACGGAAACACTAAGACTTTCTGAAGTAAACCTGAGTAGCTGTCATTATTATCTATCGTTTGTTAGAATATAGAAACAGAAGGTGGCTCAGCGACTAAGGCACTGGCTCGCTAACCAGGGCGACCTACGGTTGCACGGATTTTCGTACTATAGTCGAACCATCTGCATGCGAATGACATTTAGTTCAACCAGTGGTCGTGACCAGCCGTACCATGCGATAAAGCACGGTCGGGATAGTTCAAAGATGGCTGACAAAACTGACACTTGAGAAGATTTTCTGAAAAATATAATAAAATTGCCAATTGCCGTAGCGTTATTTATACCTTGGTCAGTATTATAGGGCCCATGTTGACACCTGAAAGTTAGTGAATGGGCATTGTAGTATAGATGTTAAATATGATTCTTTTCGTCTTTTTTGGTGAATTTGACAGATTAGGATCTTCGAATATATATAGGCACACGACAAAAAACTGTACGTGTGAAATGATTTGGTTGGGTGACATAAATCCAATGAAATATATTCTGATATTGACTAATCCTATTTGGAACCTATTTTAAGCTTGCTTTCACATCGCAGCATGGAAAATTAACCAGTTTTTAAAAATACATGAGTTATAAATAGGAGAAATTATAGCAGGCGGAACAACTGACATGGTCGCCACCATATTGAATAGTCAATGGCTAGGGTCATTTGCGTTTGGGTGCTGGTTAAGACTGTAGTCGCGACCATATTCTACATCCGAAGGTCGCCCTGGAGGTCCCTGGTTCGATCCCGGTGTAGGCCGTGAAAGTTCCTTAGGATTTCCGTGCAGGACGTTGGGATGCACGTAAGAGAGCCATTGCCAATTGGAATTCGAAATAAGAGTAGATCGTATCGGGTCAAATTTCTCTTAAAGCTCATTGCATGGCGTAAGTCTGTCTTCGTAATAATGGTTCGTATATACAAGTCTGACTACTCTAGCAAGTTAGAGAAGGAATGGTGTAGGGGCGACTCGAAAGTAATAGAACGGATTATCCAGTCTAATCAAGCTAGTGATACCGTCAAGATCACTGCGACCCAGTTTGCGAATTACAACTTTCAGTCTAAGAAATGAAATGTTATTTAACGCCCCGCTGTTCTGCACCGACTGGGCTAATGAAGACGGGCATACGTCATACACTGTGCTAAGAGGCCAATGTTGCCCTGGCAGAATTCCAACTTTTAAGCGTCCCATCCGAACGACTAGACAACTGTCCTTGAAAGGCTCTCCATCCTGCCGGAAAATCCCATGGAACTGTGTCTTGGCCATCACCGGCAGCGGACCCTAGATCTCTTGGCTAGCGATATAGCGTCTTCCGCACTGAGCCACCGCGGTTCCGAAACTTTCAGTCTAACTACACTAAATTAACAGACATGATTACGTAATCATAGAGAATGTAAATAAACTATTAACACATGGGGACCTTATCATAAGGTCTGGCATTGAGTCAACTGGCCTGGTTTCGATTCCCCGATTGTACGTGACAGAGAGTATGGTCGCCTGTCCACCGCTGAGTTTTCACCGGATCCTCCGGTTTCCTCCCACAGCTAGAGACCCCCTACGCGCAAGAGAATTACTGAAATAAAATTGAACCATATGTTAGTTCCGAAATGACCTAGTATGTGTTAAGTGGACGTTAAACACCCTCTTTCTCCCTCTCTCTCTCTCTCTCTCTCTCTTTATTCATTTATTCATGACAATTATGTCTTACTATTAGTTAAGAGCAACAATTGGTTTGCATTTCGACTAGAAACCAAAGAAAAAGCTGAATTCTATTTTCGTTATAAGTTGGTATGGCGTTGACGCAGCGGTATAGCTTATTCATTTACTCTCTTTTTGTATATTTTCAGACTGCATTAAAAAGATAAGTTTGCTCATGCTCAGGTAGAAGAAACACGTGAGTGTCTACAACAGTGTGAAGCAATAAGTAAAAGATAGAAGTTTATCCCGGATTACAGCTTTAATACGATGCGACAAATCAATCTGGATTACAACTTTAATGTAACAAGACAAATCAAGGACATTACATTATCCCGATTAAACTTCTGTGCTAATTAATTAGACTGGCTTGGTTATTGAAAGGATAACCAGTACGGGTGATGTCATCGAACTCTTTTATCCAGTAGCACAAACCGAGCACGAATATGCGTTTTAAATTGGTCGCAATGTAATGTGAATTAAGTATATTAACCAACATATTAAACCGTTTTATAGGGCATTGGTAAATGGGTTTGGACAAAAAACGGATTCCAATGACAGCCCTGTAAATTGTTTAGCACGTCTGCCCAGAATTACCAAGTGAAGCTGTCAGAATACAGAAAGATTCCTCGGGTATCCATTTACGTGATTTGTGTGCTTATCAAGAGGAACAAGCCTAGCTGATTGAATATATGGTTAAAGATACAGCAGGACGACTCAAAATTTAAAGGGATTTATAGTTTGGATTCTACGTCAGTGCTGACCGAACAACGTTTACAGTTCAATGTTGATGATTATAATAAATTACAAAACGGCTGAACAATCTTTACAAATTTCTCGAAATGACACAGATCTTCAATTCGCGTCCGATTTATTTACGCATTGGAAGAAAAAAGACCACTTCCTTAGGATAGATACTCTGGTTACGTCATTTCCTGTAGAAATAAGAAGATTTTTTAATGGGCGGGGATGCTGTCAGTACACGTCCTGTCTCCAATAGCAGGGAGAAATCACTCTGGTTTCCAAGGTAGGTGTCGCTTATTCTTATGCTCTTTTTATACGCCCACATTTAAATGTGGTCGTATATTGTCGGCGCCCCAGACCGTCCGTCCGTCCGTCGGCCCGTCGGTCCGGCGTCCACAATTGCTTGTGGACGCTCTAGAGGCTAAAGTTAATATCTGATTGAATTTAAGTTTATACACAGTGTTTAAGGTCATGAGACAAAGAAGTTTATTGATTTTCAGCGATTTCCGATAATTACTGCCGGAGTTATGGCCCTTGATCACTTCAAAAAATCTTTTGGATGCTCTAAAGGCCAAAGTTAATATCCGATTGACTTTAAATTCATACAAGTGTTTAAGGTCATGAGACAAAGAAGCCTATTGATTTTCAGCGATTTCCGATAATTAATGCCAGGGTTATGGCCCTTGATCACTTTGAAAAATCTTGTGGACGCTCTACAGGCCAAAGTTAATATCCGATTGACTTTAAATTTATACACAGTGTTTAAGGTCATGAGACAAAGAAGTTTATTGATTTTCAGCGATTTCCGATAATAACTGCTAGAGTTATGGCCCTTGATCACTTTGAAAAATCTTGTGGACGCTCTAGAGGCCAAAGTTAATATCCGATTGACCTTAAATTTATACACAGTGTTTAAGGTCATGAGACACAGAATCCTTTTGATTTTCAGCGATTTCCGATAATTACTGCCAGAGTTATGGTCCTTGATCACTTTGAATGAAAAATCTTGTGAACGCTCTAGAGGCCAAAGTTAATATCCGATTGACTTTAAATTTATACACAGTGTTCAAGGTCATGAGACGAAGAAACCTATTGATTTTCAACGATTTCCGATAATAACTGCCAATGTTATGGCCCTTCATCACTTTGTGACGCTCTAAAGGCTAAAGTTATCATCCGATTGACTTCAGATTGATACACAGAGTTTAAGATCTTGAGACGAACAAGTATATTGATTTTCAATGAATTTTTATGATTTGAACAGCTAAATCCATGATATTAAAAGTTTCGTATACAAAACGTTAGTATTAGGCAGAACGTTATAAAAAACAAACAAATTCTAATGTTTTTCTGATAATTACTTCATGAGTTGTTGCTCTTAATCAGATTTTAGTGTATTATAAATTTTTCATTACCGAAAAAAGTAAAAATATGCGACAACTCTTGTTGACTGCCCGGACGATTTAGCTGCTGTGGGCGTATGTTTCGTTGCCTGGCAACCTATCTTTTATTACTGTATTCACACCGAAGTCGATCATTTCTAGATGAAACTAAGAGTTAGTCATCGGTTGACATTTTGATTAGTGCTGTATTGTGTAATTCTGAATACGCTAAAGCGGCTGCTGGTTTCTTCTTAGCTTTAACTGGCATTTATTTATTGTGATTATTCTCTTATCGTTTCCTGGGGTTCTTTTTTTCTCTAACTTGCGCAAACAGTCATCAGATTCGCTCGATTATATTCAATAGGGCTGACCACACTTGTCATTCCCAATCGAGTACAACATCAAAGTTTACAAAGAGTCTCATGTGCTAACTCAAAGGAGCTAAATCTTTATTTTTTGGCACCTAGAAATGGACATAAATGGGTCGCAACGCATATAATAATGTAATATGAATGTATGTAAATTGATTTACATTCAATCGTTTCTATTTTTACTGTAATTTATAATCAGTTACGGTCGGCGAAATACCAGAAGCGTCCCAATTGAGTGTCATTCTTTGACTCCTGGTTATTCCAGTCTACACTGGTAGTATTCCGTCCCAACCCCCCAACCCCCCGGATATGTTTAGCCTCGTTCATCGAGTCGCATTATTACAAATGGCGCTCAAATGCATCTGGCATGCGAGTCGTGTGGCAATTTTAAAATTTTCATTTTGTCTTAAATATTGAATATCAGAAGCCCCACCTTTTCACGGTAAGATAACAACATAATGTTGATTTAATTTGAGCAAAATGTCGTGTTTGCAGTATCGAAGACAGTGCATGATATTGCATTAAAAACTTAGCTACTTTAAGGGCCGTTTACCTTGGAGTCTATCGACTTATATTGACCCTAAGACTCTCTAAACGTAATTATTTTGAACATCATTCCTTTTGTTTTGTTCAGTATATGACCCTGAACAGATCGGATGGATTAACTGAATAATATGTTATCTTCAACGAATATAACTACCAGGATGTTCTTCTCCTTCCCTGTTCCCAAATCACATTTAAAATAACCGTCAGACAAAAACAAGTAAATTAGATACAGTTGGCAAGGGATCAGATAAACTATCAAAATATTGAATAAAAATACTATTACATATTTACTATATTTCCTGGCGGCGTCTCGGTATATAGCTTTCCATCCTGATGTTCATTGGGATTTATCAGTGGTGCAGCAAATAGGGTTTGGCAAGGAAGCGCGTCTAGTCTTTCGGATGGGACAAAAACGAGGTATAATATACACATTAACGTGCACTTAAAAGTAACTTTGGCAAGAACAATTTCGATGAAGAGCAAATTCCCTGATAGCACAATGTAAATGAAATGAAATGAAATGGGGTTTAACGCGCTACTGTTCTGCCTCGACTGGCCTAATGAAGACGGGAGATGCTAATTGTAGGCCAGTTGGGGAGGTTCAGGTGTTTCCGGAATCCAAAATGGCCGCTTTATATAAATGAAAATTTTGGAGAATACTAACCCTAAGCCTAACCCTAACCCTACTTAGAAGACTGAACCTGGATTAATTTAACGTTTACCCCTCTTAAAAGGGTTAGGGTTAGGGTTCGGGTTAGTATTCCTCAAAATACTCTTTATAAAAAGCAGCCATTTTGGGCTCCGGAAATTCCCGAACCTCCCCAACCGGCCTACAATTAGCACCTCCAAATGAAGGCGGACATACGCCATTACACGCCATACAATGTGAAAACACGCCGAAAAATCCCGATGAACTTTCTCGGCCAACACCGGGATCGAACCAGCGACCTCCAGGATAGCGAGTCAGCGTCATACTCACTTAGCCACCGTGGCTCCCGATATCGTAATGTAAGGATTATGCCCGTCTTCATTAGCCCAGTCGGTGCAGAAAGGTATGATGTTATATCCTATTGTATTTCATTTTAATCTTTTTGCACCCACTACTTAAACAAAATAATACTAGTATTATATTCATAAAATCGATTGACAGTTGGGATCACTTGTTAATCATCATATAGAGAAAAATAATTCCGTCCATTATTTCTTGAACAATTTAATACTAGTTCTGCATTCTTGTATACAATTTACAGTTATAACCACTCGCTAATCTTCGTATAGAAATACATAAATGTCCGCATTTGACCCCGGTCCCTCGACCCTAAACCTAAATGTACTTCATAAAGAAGGTGTTAATGGTGATAGTAATAGGTAATTATGAAATATGTGTTTAATTGGACTAATTAACATTCATATATTGTTATGTGTCTATAGATATTAGGTAATAGGTAGTTTTGTGGGCTAATTGATAGAGACTACATTGGAGGGGCGGGGTCTAGTTTACACCCACTACATTAGAGGGGCGGGGTGCAGTTTTCACCCACTACATTGGAGGGGCGGGGCCGAGTTTTCATCCAATACATTGGAGGGGCGGAATCCAGTTTTCACCCACTACATTACAGGGGCGGAGTCCAGTTTTCACCCACTACATTACAGGGGCGGAGTGCCGTTTATCTTTTGATCAAGACCCACAAGAACTAAACATTAAATGGTTCAATTTTATTGTAATAATTCGCATGCGCGTAGGGGTCTTTAGCATTGGGGGGGGGGGGAGGACCCGGAGAAGGCCCACGCGGATGGACAGGCGACCCTACTCCTTGTCACGTAGAAGCGGGGAATCAAAACCGCACCACTTGACACAATGACTACCTTGTGACCCTACGCACACGCGTTAACCTATCGGCCACTCATCCGCAAAAACGTAGGGCGCTATATCCCATTACATTACAGAAAAGTTTTAATGCATTTTGCAGCCTCGTGTTTTTGTAATTAATTCTAGAGAGAATGTTGTAGGAACAAGTCTCATTTGTCTTAATGCATGTTCAACTGGAATCACAGGTGAACATCAAAGACAAATAGATTACCGCGCAATGGTGATCAAAGGTAAAACTAGACAAAATTAATAGTCCTCCACTGATAGTTCTAAACATAATATTGTTATTTTTTAAATGGATCTGTTTGGTTAATAAATGTTAGCTTTATATTTTTTTTAAAATAAACCAATGGAAACAATTTGTAACCTCATTAACATGAACTTGCGATATGTCAAAACGTATACTCACAGACATATATATCACATGCACGCCAATGTGTACAGTGCTAAATCCGTACGCTTAGACGACAACTCGCGCAAAAATTGTAGGACGTTAAACTCCATTTTTTTCCATATCCCCCCCCCCCCCACACACACCCCGATAACATACTGGTAAATGATATGGCTCAGATAAAACAAAATGTTGTTTGTCAAAGTAGGCCGAGGTCACGTGTACATATTGGCGTGCACGTAAAAGATCCCTTGACAGTTGGAATTCGATATAAGAGTAGGCCGTAGCGCCGCTATCCGGGCACAATTTCCCTGGGAGCAAACTGTATGGGGTATGCCCGTCTTCATTAGCCCAGTCAGAGCAAAACAGTAGGACGTTATACCCCATTTCATTTCATTTCATTTCTTTGAATCAGTCTAATTTTAACCCAACTGAATCGAAGACATGAGATTATCTACCTGGGAAATCTTTGAGTACAAATTAGACCTATACATTGCCCAAAAATGAAAATAACAATAATAATTTACTTCAATATAAAAAAAAAACTTCACAGATAAAACTGCAGAATTGATATGCACTTAAAATAAACCTCGTTTTTCTCAAAATAGCCAAAGAATGCATGATACTTTTCAAAACTTCCTGTACCCCACACTGATCAGCAGTGAATATTCGCTAGACCTCTACAATCACTGTGAGGGGTGACATCGATGCGGCTTAATGAGC